CCGGAAGTGGACCAAAAGTACTTCCAGTCCATTTCTGGGTTTACCACTGAGCATGCGGGCCCCTGCCCTCCATCTGTCCCAACATTGCAACATTCATGAGCCGCACCTGGTACCTCGAGGTATGTAGAAAAAGCATTTAAAGCAGTGTCTGTGTGTGAATTGCTGATTATCCGAATCAGCATTGAATCTTCAGATTTGGATTTAGCTGAATCAAATCGGAGACAGTGATCCGAATCAACGAATTGAATCACTGTGCCCGGCTGAATCCAAATCTGAATCAAATAGGGCCCATTTCACACAGCCCTAATAGTCTGTCCCAGGGACAATAAGCCAGATGCTCCAGCAACCATGCCTACGGGACCTGGCAAAGACAAATACACAAAGAAAAGGAAAAATGGTTACTTACCTGTAGGAGAAATAACGCTGGAGGGGCGGAGGAGAGAGCCCACGCGGTTTACAAGCTGCGCCTTTATTCAATTAAGGCCAGCGGGTGACGTCAGAGGGAATCACCAGCCGGTGGGAATAAAGGCGGGTGCCAGCGAAGAAGCAAGAGGAGGGAGAGAGGCGGTGGAAGCTCCTCACGCCAGCGTGATCAAAGCCAACCCCGGCAGGGAGTGCCAGCGGAGGCTGCGGGAGCTCCCTGCAGCAAAAAAATAATTAAGTTGAACCCTGGACAGGGGAGAGAGCTCAGGGCAACAAGTTCTGAACACCGCCGAGGGAGCTCGGCGTTTAAAGCTCTGGTCAGCAGAGGGGCAGGGACGGAGACCCGGGGAGAGAGAATGTGACCAACCCTGAGGATTTAAAATCCAATATGCCCAGTTACCCTCAGGTATTGGGCCGTGAAGACGGGCTTGGGATGCAGAAAGAAGGGAGACGTCGGGGGAGTGACGGCAGGGAAAACCTTGCCGGGTATAGGCAGGAGAGCTGAGGGAATCGACTCCTATGACTGCAGAATTGCAGGTTTCTTCTTGTTTTTCTCTTTTTTTCCTTCTTTCTTTTATTCATTGGCACAAGGGTGCCCAAATGGGCCTCAGGAGCAGAACCTGCCAGTAGCAGGGGACTTGGGACACAGGGGCCATTCAATGTCTCACTCACAGGAAGTGAGGAAACAATAGCCTAGAGCCTTGAAGAGGTGACGAAGCTCAAGAACATCCATGCTGGAGGAAACAGTAGCCTTGAGACTTGGCACCCCATCGGAGGATGGCATTAGGTTTGGGGTGTAGGGGAGGTGGAGCCCCATAAACATCCAGCTGGCGATGTGATCACTCCTGAGGGTCCTCTAGAGGCTATTCCCTCCACTGGTGTAACATTCAAAGTTGTGGCAGGAGAGGTTGAGGGGGGGCCTTGAGGCAACCGACACCCACCTCAGGGGGTTCACGAAGCAGTCGAATGTATCCC